GTTATTTGTGAAATATTACGTCATTCGAACAGAGTTATACAATATTCTATTTTATACGAAGCGAGATAACTTTTTTATTGAAAAATTACTACGATCGATATGAATATTTTGACCGCTTTGACCATTTATCGCATTGAACGTCGCGGTTCCTTGACTTTGCTGTTCAAAAATCCTTAATTTAAATAATATTTTTCATAATAACGACGGAGGGTATAAAAGACAGCGTAACAAAACAGTATGAAATGTTACGTTACCCTCTGTACAATAATAATAATCTACTGGTGGAGTGTCGATGAACCGAGCGATTCTTTATCAATTAAGAGTATGAGAATCGTTGAGAGAGCCCGACGACCCTTTGGTGATTTATACGATTCGTGTCCAGGACGGTCACCGTGTTGACAGCACGGCTATTAATAATGCATAGCAAGAAAGTGGAACAATGTCGACAACGAGTCGTAAACTGTCCGGGACGGCGTTGCGATTACGCTGCACGGGTGGAGCGTTTTCCGAGATGACGACACCCGCTTGCGGAAGATGAAGAAGAAGCAGGGACTACCCGTACTTCATGTAGCCTGCAATCTCGTTCAAGGTTTACGACGTGGCTGTTACCAGTCAGCCTTCTTCGCGACGTTTTTTACCGTCATTCCCACGGACCTACCATTTTTTCCTCCCTCGAGAAATTACGAGACTTTCGCTCGGACGATGGGGTGGTTCTTGGACAACACGGAACGACTTCATCGGTGGTTCTTAACCTATGGCTCACAGGCCCCAAAATGGGACCCTGGATAAATATTTCTGTTGGCTATTACAGTATTAAAATAATTTTATCTTTGAAGAAGGTTTGACCAAGAACAAGCGTCTAGCGTCTCGAATTCGTCGCTAAAGTTTAATCAAATATTTTATGAAACATCTTGTATAGATCCGCTATGAATAGCTGATTCGTTTCAATTTCTAACATTTGCCGAACTCTTTAGGGTCAGTGTATTCTTCATTGTTACGTTCTCTACCTTTACCTTTTCCCGCGTTTGATATAATATATTCCACTTTCTGGAGTTCTCACTTTACTTAACACATTCAGATTCAGCGTGCCTTTCTTATTACTTCCGCATACCTTATCCGTACCCTTGCTTCGTATTTCCTCTAATTTATACAAAAGTCTAAAGTTTCACGGTATATTCAACATTTTGGTGGCCGATGTTCCTTACGAAGTTCTAGTCATTCGATCGCGCTAAAAAGGACCACCCTATCGCACCTGGTATCTTTTCAAACGCAATTTCCACGACTAAGGTAAGGGGTCCCCTTGTTAGAAGAAATTTATGCCACCGCGCCGCGACTAGGAAACGAATTAGCCCCCATCGTAATTGATACAACGACCCGATGACGATAAAGAGTACACGGCTCCTCGTAGCTTGAATTCAGATGACGTTGATTAATATTCGCGCGGCCGTTTGCGGAAGAGCTGATTTATATTCTCGCGTCCGGGCGCAGTACGCAATTTCACTTCGGAGGGGTTTACGACGGGACCATTAGCAGCGATATTCGCGTCGCCCGATTTCTTGCCGTCGTTACAGGGCTCTCGCGACGCTGCAATTTCAGCCCCCTTCGAAACGGAACGCTTTTTTTCTCTTATTATCGATTAATGTATCCCCCGCGAGATCACCGAATGACCGAAATTACATTAGTATCGGTTGTATTCGAGTTACCACGCGGCTTACCGCAAATTGGACGAATCTGGAAGTCGCTGGTGGCTGAAGGCTGCTGTTTCGACGATCAATTGCATTAAACAAATTGTAATTCTCTGTCGTGATAAATTCGCCGTCAGAGCGTTCAGCGTGAATAATTTTCCACGGCGAATCGGAATGTAAAATCACAATGCATTACAGTCTGTAGAAATTGAATCGGTAAAGCTTTAAAAATCTCTATTGACAACTACTGCAAATATAGCAGTTCGTTTCGATGTCGCGTATTATTTTGTTCAATGATATTTCACAATCGGTCCATTTATTTTCGGAACTTTCACACGGCATTACAAAATGTTAGCGAGCATTTATTTCTATCGCCGGTCGCATAATGCCGCTAATTGCAAATGCCCCCCACGAAATGAATCGCTAACACGTGTTCAAGCACGAGCATAACCGCGTTTTATCGACCATCGAAAATTCCGCACTGTAAATAATTCCAATTACCCACGAGCCAGTAAAACAGAAATTGTACCATGCGTGAATTGCATCGATTAACTTTCAAAGCGTAATCGCACTGTGCTCGAAAATAATCTCTACCCATACATAACTCTCTTTCAACGCAACTTTTGTTGCAACAAATCGGTGCCATTCGACACGCCACGGATCTAACAAAGTACGTCGAATAATATTTATTTTATTGTCGAGTATAAATCGAGAACAGAACTGTAACAAAGTGCCGAATCTTTGATAGAAATTATTCCAATGTATACTCTATCTTTAATTCTTCAAATACCAAAGTATACTCGAAACAGTTCGATTCCGTTCGTTTGCAAAGTTTCTAAACGCGACCGGCCGTGTTGGAATTAATAAAAGAAGAGAGCACGAGGAGGGATTGAAACACCGAGGGTCGTATCTCGCGGGGATAAATCAGTTCGCGAAGGATTTAGGTATCCGTTTGATTTACGAACGACAATGGCTAATCGGATATCGATCGACGTTTAATGATTTACGATCAGAAAAAGGCTCGGAGTCATCGAACGCCGAGACTTTCGGTGTTTGTTGATTTCGAGGAGTCGGCCCCTTCGTGATACGAAATCGATATTCGATGAACGGTGTTGCATTCTATATTCGTGACGTGTATCTCGATGAATTATTTCTCGCTTTCCGCGGGGAACCGCCATTTTCCGGAAGAATTGTTATTTAGAGTTTAGCAGCGATTTGAATTCAAACCATCGCGTCAATATTATTAAATCGCAGAGGAGAATTATTTATACGATTCATTCTATTATGCGATAGAATTCTTTTTTTAGAATACCTGAATTCGAAGACCAAAACTTTGATTTTAAAATTTCTCTTAGTACGTATTTTCGTAACCCCGCTGAAATTCATGAATCTTACGCAAATTTATTTCCTTTAACGTTTCAGCTCGAGAATTATTTATTTTAGTTTCAAAGTGGAAAGTCTTGTCGTCCGTATAAATTTTTTTATTTCGCTCCATTTACTGAAATAACTTACGTGTACCCGAGCTCAAAATTCCATCGCGAATTGCAAAATATACGTTTTTACGCAACACGTTTTCTTTCGATTTGGTAAATTCAATTTTTCTATCAAAATAGAATCAACAATTGACCTTAACTGTCCGGCTAATGGGTACGTTTAGCTTGTTACGTATAATTCCGTAATTATTTCGAGCGATTCATTCGTTTTCCCTCTCGTAGGAACTCGAAACGGTCGTGAATCAATTTACCAAATGTCGCGCCGTTTAACGAGTATCTCGAGAAATCGTCCGAATACGTACTCGACGTTTAATTATTCTCAATTGACCGAAATTTCAAGAAATTCCAACAACGTATTCCAGAAATACTTTCAAAATTGACGCTCGTCCGTATTCAAATTGACTGCGTCGCGCTCTGTGTCAGGGTGATACCGTCATCGACGTCGCCTGACATACATTACACCATCTGGGAAAGTATTCCAGTAGCTTGGCCTGTGTGACGATAGACCCCGACATTCCGTTCTACTTATTTCTGATCGCGCGACATAAGACCCACGAACGATTCTAGTTAAACGAATACCAGAAACTATCGATAGGCCCTGATGAGACAATAACCAGTTCTTGGTGCGTCAATTGCCCACTAAAGATCGTTCTTCAATTACCCTATCGTCGAGCGGTTGACCAAAGAAATTTAACTTCTCGCGCCAACTTGACGACGAATACTTAGTTTGCAGGATATCCAAAGAAAATTAATACTTTGTTATACATATAAAGAGAATGTGGGTTCAGTGCGTGTCTGAGAATGATTCGAAAGAAAGGAGAGTGAATCATATTGCCGCGCGTAAAAGATAAGCTCTCGCGCGGCTGCGTCGTTTCCGTGTGCCTTCGGCGGCATCGTTTAATGTTTGACGGCGGGAAGAAAGGACTCCACGGGGACCCAGGTGGCCCATGACGATGCCATGGCGTTGCGGTAACAGACAATGTTGTCGTCGAGACGTGGACAAGCGTACCTACTTCGAAAGTACTTACTTTGAAAGACCCGATGTAATTTTCCTCTGACATAATTTTCCTATCGCGAGAGATAAAATATTTATATCTCTCTACCAAAGTTAATATCAGATTTACCGTTTTCCTTTTCGGTAAACGTTAATTTTCATCCGCGAACGGAACGAGAACCGACAGTGATTTATTTGATTAAAAATTCGAGGCAGCGTTTGCGGTAATTGATTGCACGTATTTTTTCGTAATTGCCCGGTATATTAGTTAGTTTCTCTTTAATACTTACAGCGTCGACAGTGAACGATGCGTGGATCTTTGAATAAAGCCTTATTACGTTCCTCGTTAGCGATGCGCGCGTAGCTTTTTCCCTCGTACTGTTACGTTATAGATTACTTCAACGTTCTAACGTTTTATTTATAACACATTATTGTATATGGATGGCTAGAAATTCTGTTCTACTCTGCTCGCTTTCCATTCTTTTATTATCTGTGCAGAATATGGTAGCATTTTAATCTAGACATGAAATAAGAACTGTAAATTTTTCGAAAGCGTTTTGAACAGCGAGAAGATTGGAAGCACTCGATTCTATCGCGACTCTTTATGCTCGCCGAGTATCCCGTAATCGTATTGAAAATCATAGCTCGTGGAACGGAGGCCTGGGTGAACCGTGGGCGCAAACGAGGCGTCGCTCTGTCTCATTAATCCGAAACAGAGGGTTCGTGAACGTGACGACGATCGAACCACGATCGATCGAGTTCTCGTTGCGTCGCTCGACAGACGCCCGTGACAGGCTCGTTTCAAATAATTCGCCCGTCTGTTCGCAGATCGACACACGAGACAGTATCAGCTGCAGCAACTGCGGGGACAACGCCAGCAACAGCAACAGCAGCAGCAGCTATCCTCGAGGACCGATCACGTAGCTTCCCCGACGATCCATTACGGCAGAGGCCGTGTCGAGACTAGAATACTGCCACGACGTAAATGCTGCGCGTAAGATCATTCGACGCGGCATAACGCGGCGCCAACGTCAACCTATGCCAGCGCGTCTCGTCCTTTGAACCGCAGATCGAACAAATTTCGTTCCTTGACGACAGTATTTTATCCCAACCCTGGGCAAACCTCATCGCGATAAATGTATACCCACTGTCAGAAATATACGAAAATGTTTTTCAAAAATTTCGAATCAATTACTACATATAACGATTGTTCCGCCAATAACCGTGTAGTCGATGCGACGCTGAACACAACAAAGAAACATGCGATCAAGCGATCAAAATATATTTGAAGAATTTTCAATTTTCTAATCCTGGAAAGTTCACTTTCAATAGAAGTGGTGTGGTGGGGGTGAGGGATGTTCGCGGACGTTGAGTTGTCAGTGGTAAAGGATCGGGCTGCTGGTCGTGCCACAACGAGCCGCAATAACCGAAAGTAATTTAACTGTCGAAGAAAGGCCGGTCTGCGGCTCGCGCATAAATTATGTCAAGAGTTCCCCGTTCGACAGTCGAGGGCATAATGAACGGAACAGGAATGGGGGAGGAAAAAGGCGTTACCAGTTCGTTCCTCGCTTTAATTAAGTCTAATTAAAGCCGATCGATTTCGCGCGAGCGGACGAGTCGACCGCCGAGATCCGCTGGATCCCCAGATCCCGAGATCTCGAGATCCAGCCGATATTTCTTCTGTCGTTGAATGGCGCCGATCGATAGTGATCTTTGCCTTTTAACCCTTACCGAGAAAACCGGCAAGCTGGGAAGCGATGGAAGATAGGTAACGAAAGACGTTCGTCGATTGAAATTTATGGAAGACGTTGGACGATCGGTAACGAACCATGCAACGATATTGTTTAATATTAATTTTAAAGCGTCGATTTATTAAAATATCTTCCACGTTTAAGCTTTCGAACACCACCGCTTCATCGAGCAACAACTTCTACCTTTGCAATTCCAACGAAATTCGTTTAAATCTCGCGAAGGGGTTAATCTGCAAAGATCACGAATCGAAAGATACTTTACGAGAAAATATATTAATTAGACTGTACATTCGTAGGACGTTAAAACTGCCATACAATAAATTGCCATCCAGCACTGCCTTTTAATCGCGTAAGATCGAAACAGGAGCTCGGAGGAGGAATTGTTCAGGCTTCTATTTTTTTTAGTCTTATTTTTTTGTAAAAAATATATATACATACATACATACATATATTTGATATATAAATTTTATACATTTATTGTAACGTCGTGCGACGATAATCGATCGTTAATTTTTAACAATGATATGCGAGTGGCGTGGAGGGATATCAATGAATAATAAACAAAACTTCACTTACCCTATATGTCTGGTCTTTTTTATCAATTACCTGGCCCTACGAAAATTAGTGGTAAAGCACTTGCGACACACCAAAACGCAAAATGTCTATTTCTTTCTCTAAATTGATTAAATTAAATACTTTGCCTCCGTAGACGGATTCCTATCATGGGTGTGTAGTCCCCATAGAAGGCATTGAATGCCAGCCGTGAATGCTTGATGGAATAATTGGCTATCGTTACCTCCAGGGATATTGACTGCGTTGGGCTGCGTCTATTGTCAGCTAGTATGCCAGTAAATTTGCGAGAAACAAGGATACGGAGGAACGTGTAATTTCCTCGAACCTCGCTGAACGATAATGAACAAACTATCGGTAAAAGGATCGATCGATCATCCGGGAAGGAACGAAACCAATCCACAAGCACATTTATCGATACGTTCACTGTCATTCCAGTTTCTCGTATCCATAAATATCTTCATTTTCTCGAATTAGAACGTGACAATTGTAAACGATGATTCGACAGTGCCTGTTATTTTATTCTGTGCGAGCATGAATCATTGATTTTATTGAAAGCGAACCTATCTTTGTTACCAGACAATCGATAAACTGTTTATATCATCGATGTTGAATCAATGACTTGGACGCGTTCTTCATTGCTTCCTCTTTATTGCCACTTGATGGTTTTATTGAATCTACTTGTCGCCTAGTGGACGACAAGAAAATGGTTTCTTTAGAACATCACGAGCAATGCAGTCAGTTTTAAAGTTTAAAAAGCATTTGTCGAACGTTTGGAATATATTATTTCATTGGAACATTGGTATTTGAAACACCTGATAACTTCGTGATGTTCTCGACGCTTCTTAAACCGTCTGTATATCGTTATCTTTGATTTGGAATAAAGGGGAGTCGCTTCGGGTGACCCGATTTAACTGCATTAGACGAAACAACAATAAGCAGAATCTAGTCCGCCGATATAAGCTGTCTGTTAAGGTATCCCCCGTGACTCACTCTACTGGTTCGCGTCTCCTTAATAGCCTATTGTCTAGCTAGGTGCTTATTAAATATTCAGTACCTTCGCGACAATATTATTCGGTAAAGGAGAAGTCTGGGGATGACAGAAACGTCACGACACCGACAAACGTGCGCTAATTAACACGACGAGCTCTCATCGGCCATGAATGCGAAAATATATACCATGCTTGCGTTTGCTTCTAATTTCTAATCGAGCCATGAAACATTTCGATAGATCGATAACCGAAACAATTGAATTATTTTATAAAAAAAGGAACACGATTATCATTATCGTGGTGATTGCAGCCCCAACGATAAAAGACACATTTCCTTTCTACGCGTAGCAAGTTTCTTGAAAATCGGTTCATTAGTATCGAAGCTTTTAGAGACACCGGCTCGGAAAAAGTAGTTTCGAGAAAAACAGCATGAAAGTTCGACAGTGTGACGCGACCGTTCCACCCGCGCAAGTAATTGTGTTCGCTAATAAAATTCACCGATTAGCATAATCACATCACGTCCTTCGTTAGATGAGAATAAGAATACCAAAAAATAAGTCGCCTCCGCGTTAAATCTTCAAGCTGGCATCTCGAGTTCGCCGAACGCTTCGATTTTTAACTGCACGCGTTTACATTTTAAGTATTTTACCCATTTACATATTTTAAACGATAACCCAATATTCTATACGACGCTTGCAGTTTACTTTTAACTTGCAAGTAAATTAAAACAACACGATCCAGAGGCACGGAGAAATACATATATTTACCCGATGTTCCGACCAACTTACTGGCCCCTCGAGATGCATTAACGCGCACAGTACTTGTACCGTAACACAGAATGAATGAAACATAATTCTTCGAAAAACTCCACACGGTTCAAATATAGATGCCATTATAAGGTTTCATCGAACCGACGCCATTGCTCGAAAATGAAAATAAATTTCAGAAAGAGAACATAATCAAAATGAAACAACCATACACTCGACGAACGGCACGTGTATTTTTCATGTGATTTTATTCATAATTTTGAACGTTTCCTTTTACCATCGCGAAAAATCAGAAACAAAACGCATCGTTTCGCGATGTCGAAGCGTTCGTGTTGATTTTTCGGAAAGTTAATTGTCGTATCAGTGACCGTGTTTTTTTTATTTATACACTGGTCTGATTTTCAATCCATCGCTTGTTTATATTTATTTTCAGGTACGAGTAAAAAGGGATATAGAATACGCACACTTTCAAAGATATTTTTAGAAAAGAATTCGTTCGATTTTCTGTAAACATCGTCCGTTTAATACGTATTTTACACAGTGGTTATGGATGCACATACAAACCAATCGATTCGATGGATAAATAAATAAAACTTAGTCGACGTAATAAATAGTAATAAATTTAACAAAATCGGCGATTCAAAATTCAGAGGTATCGTAACTGACGAGAAACGTAGAAATGCGTGGTACGCGTGTCGTGTGGATCTTGTAAACTAAACATACTTACTTTGCCATCGCTTGCAACAAACGTAGTCTAAAACGTACAATTACACAATTCGTCGTCAGGTTGTTAAACAATTTACATACACGATGGCCGCTACAATCAACGCGACCGTTCGAAAAGAAAATATAATATATATCAGTTTGTAACATTTGTCGTTTAACTAATATACGTAGTTTTACATGATCCGACTGTTATACGTAATAGTCACAACGTAGTGCTATTGGATGTATTGTTCTTCGATAATTATTCAGGAAATAATATTAATTTACTTAATTTACTTAGAAACGTTGTACAGTAGAACATTTATTATCCGATCGTACTTTTCATTTATTCGTTCATCCAAACAACGACACCGTTTGTATTGCTAGTAAAGAATATCTGATTTTCTATTTATTTAGTTTGTTTGTTTTGTACGTCCCTTTAACGTCGTTCAATGTCATATTTTCACTGCTTCTCTCATACGGGCTCGCGTACAAGACACAAAGTTTTTCGTTAAAATTTTCGTAGAATATTATTTGTGCTTTAAACGATGAATTCGAACACTGTTCAACCGTGTAGCTAAGAAGCTAGAAGCTGTTCAGTTCGTAGGCGGGCAGCCAACAAATGATACGCGTTCGAAAACGAATCAGGAGCGTGTAATTCGGAGAGAGTCGAAGATTACATTTGCGCGTTAAACCGTAAATGTAAATCGGCGGGAATTAAAGACCCGTGGCGCTTAACCCGTTGATCGGCGCCCGTTCGGCGAAACGCGTAACACGTAAGTACATCGACTCAGCGTGGCTTTGATGTTCGCGAACTTTGTAATTTCCATAAATCCGGTTCGGTTCCAGAAACGGATACCAGAACCGCCCTTTACACGATCACGGACAAGACTAAAACTATCGTTGTTTCCGGCTGTCTGGTGCAACGCGCGCCCGGCGAAGCGTTCAATTTCGAAATTAATCGCGGAGCGGTTTCGCGAGCCCCGTAGAAACATCGTCGAAACACCGAGGGATCGATCGATCCTCGACTTCCATCGAATCGGATCCAAGCTCTGTTCGACGTCCACCAGCAGCCAACCCCCGATCGCTGTACCGTGAAAAGAAACGAATGCAAAATTCGCGAGGGCGCGCCACAATGCATGCAAATGATCCGTCCATCCTCGTTTCGAACGGGGCCCTGTAACCGACGAGACTCGTTCGCGTAAATGACAACTAGCGGGCGGGCACGAGATTTGCATAAAAATTCACCGATAGATTATCTCGGTGCACGTAGAGGAGGAGGCGTTCGAAACGGACCACCCCTGAATAACGAGTTTACCCGCCTGCCGATAGACGAAAACACTTTGGACAAATGCCGCGTCGAGGGGGAGGACGTAACGCGCGATGTCAATCATTTGGAACAGACCGGAGGCTCGATTATACGAGATAATTGTGGACAGACACTGGACCCGGATAATCGAAAACTCGGATAATATGAAAGGATCGATGGATGTTTAGAAATCGTGGAAAATTAAATCGTGTTTCGATTTAATTGTACAGGGCGGTCCATGCGGTATGTATCTCTCTATCTACAAATTCTATTTTCAACGTATTTAAAAAAGAAAGTTGAAGATTAATATAAAATAATGTAAATATAGAAGGATCGATCCGAGAGAAGCGTGTATTCTATTGTACGAAAATTTCCTTAGGTCGAATAATCTTGTTAGTACGGATAATGGAGGTTCTACCGTACATGGGTCGTGCGTGCAAATTGCCATCGACGTTTCCCTTCTTTCGTCCTTGGCAACGCGGACACGACAGTCACGATCGACGCTTGGAAACACGTAATTTCCGTAGACCGTTCGCGTATTGTCCGGAAATTCCTAGATCTCCGCGAGCGTGTCGATCGTGATCGCTGTAACGCCGGTGGATCGAGGCCCCCCCCACCGTCAAATCCAGGATAAATTCAGTTCGCTGTGTGCGGGCCGCGTGTAGCCGCGGCGAAGAAAGACGAGATGGAAAACGCGAAAGCGCAACGGGGAAACCTGTGGATCGTCGAGAGCCACCCGGAAAATCAACCGCGAGTACATCGGACCAGACGCTCGAACAAAACGCGCGTCGAGTATATTTCAAATTCACATATACTTATTTTTACTTCTATACATTTCTTTTCTCTCGTTTCTGAATTTTCGAGCACATGCAAGTTTCGTACAATAAAATAAAATACGTGACATTGGAAGTTAATAACTTTCAATATTACATAATCCATTATTAACTTCTCATTCCGTCGAACCGTAATTGTTAATCTTATTTTTATATTTCAACAAAATAAACGGACGTCCTACTTGAAACGTTTATCGAATCGTGGACCGGTATCTCTCTTAATAACGAGTTAAATCAAGTCGAAGTATATTTATTCGGATACTCTGGAAGATGACGATTCCCCGGTAAAATGCAATACTCGTAGGTACAAACATACGCTCGCGAATGTAGCGCGGAAAGATATCCGTGTCTCGTCCGCGTTTAACCTTCCGGATAAAACGGAATCCATTACACACGCTGAAGGGTGGGTGCGCACGACTCTAGAGCATTTCCATTTATATTACCTTATCGTTATTCTTCCACCTCGCTACCTTTACTCCACCACCACCACCACCACCACCACCACCACCACCACCACCACCACCACCCCCGTCCCATTTTTACCTGGATTTCCTTTTCTGCACCGTTTCTTCTCTTTTCCTCCCCTCTAACCTTTCCCTCCCCCCCTACGGCGGTCGCTTGATCGTGGTTGCCAGGACTCACTCCTGCCGGAGGACCACGGTGAACACGCACTTGCTCGACCAGCCGGCCTCGTCGGTGGCTTCGTACTCTATCCTGTGCCCGCCAAAGTCAAAACGTCGCCCAGGACTCTGAAACATGCGGGCAAAACGTGCTCGAACGATCAAACCCCTGAACGATCTCCAAAGCTACGGAAGCTACGACGATCCTGCTTCCTCGATGCAACCTGAAACCTTCGTTACCGCATGGATCTTTTACTTTTACCGTACTTGTACAGAAGCGTTCCATAGAGTTGCTCATCCAATGAATAGAGTAGTTCATGCTTTTGTGTAACAAAATCTAGATTGAGATTTCGATCTTGAGCAGAGGCCAATCTTCGCGTGATTGTGCCATCGGACGAGGAAAGCAAATGGGATCAACGAAATAAACAACGATCGAATCTCGTATCAGATGCTCCCGACGCGACGGTTCAAACTTCAAAGACGATGCCGCGCGCCTATCGATGTATTAATTACCAATGAAAATTAACAAATTAACACATTAAAAACTGTATTGCCACCCGTATATATTTCGCTAAAGAGTGATAACGAAACTATCAAAATGGCACGAACTACTTGAAATGATTTTTCTACTTTCAAACGCCACGCTCTTGTACATTGGGTTTTTGTCAGAATTTGATATCTTTGGAACGTCTGCAGGGTGCGGCAAGAGATTTAGAATTCTCCGCGAAGGTAAAACGTGTACAGTATTTATTTGACAGTCTCATATTCTATGTACAATGCGCCGCGAAACGTGACTTGCCATGGAGAAGCAGTTGGTAAACAAAATTGTTACGCTATATTTGCATGGAAACATAGATCGTTTTCTGTGTAAACTTTGGGTAATTTAAATTCTCGGCAAACTTTCCGCAGTTTACACGAGCGATTCGAACCAATGCGTAAATCGAATCAACATTCAAAGCGCAGCTTTCTCGTTGCAACAAAAAAATTCAAACAATCAATGAAACGATCTAAACTATATTGTAGTTGATAGAAAAATGTTTAGAACGTATATACACGTCGCTCGAATGCAAAGGTTTAACGTAATGGCGCGTTTTCAGGTTCAAGTATGAGAATATTGAAACGAATTCTGATGGGACTGTTGGGAAAAGCTAAGCGCCTCGAGTTTCCATTCTAATGAAATTTTCTTAAATATTCTTCTCCGCTGGCCACGCGAAACTACCGCGAAATTCCGAAGGAAAAAATTCTTCAGGACTAATTTTACTCGAGGAGAAGCATTTCTGAACTGCGGTTCCCGTATGCATGTCTACCTCCTGGTGTCTTACTTTTTCCTAACGTTTCTTCTTTCTTCCACAATTTCCCTCCCTTTCTAAGGTTTTCTTCCGAGCGATATGAAATTACCGCCATATTTGACGACGAGTTCTCATCTGTATTTTCATCCACTCGATTCCAGCAATGTAATTAAACGAATCTCCACCCTGTAGTGTCCTTTAACGTCAACATTCGTAATATTGCATTTGTTCCACTAATTCTTTAATATTCGTAACAAAATGATTCGATGGAAAAGTTTCAATCCACTACAGTTTGGTCAGGTCATTAAAGTCCTGGAATATTTCGTACATTTTCAGATATTCGTGAACGCTTTGTGAAATACATTCGCCCCGTGGAACGCATTATCGAAATAGCAAAATTTGTGCAAAGTTAATGATCACAGCGTGCAATTTTCACACTGATCAGGATTCATGCATCCATTAAGCACGGACGAATATTTTATGCCATTACACAATTATCCAGGATAAAATATAGAAAACCAGTAATCTACGGTAATTATTAATAAGCTATGAAACTGTCTACGAGCAATATGCGTGCGAATTATTACCTTTACGGGGAAAAAATGTCTGTATGAAAATGATGTATGTCTTCTATGCTTATTTTGAAATTAACTTTAAATCGACTTAGAAATACGTTCTTGAACGATGAACTGTTACAGCTGCGCGTAACATGCACAATTATTTCCATGCTACCAAGCACACTGTAACGAACATGACACACATTCGACGATCCCAACGTCGAATCGAACATCGTTCAGATATTACATACTTTATAATCAACACTGACCTCGTTGCTTCTAATCTGGGTCACCTTCACATTGTCCGTGAAAATTGGCTCGGTCCACGTGATCGCTGACCCATTTTTCCCGATGACCTCTATGTCGTTTGGACAGTCTTTGACTTTGGGCGCTTCGCCGCCTGAAATCGAACAAATCTAATCAAAAGACTTTGAACTCGAACTTGTTCCGGGCGGCTCCTGCGTTTCCGGAATCATCGAAATCAACTCCAGGAATATTCGACGTCGACTTCCATGATTTCACGCAGGACATATTCGTACACCTGGAATTCAAGGGTTGTCGTGCTCGTTTTCGTGAACAAAAATGTCTCAAAATTCGAGATAAAGAAAGAAAAAAGGCTAGCCTACCGGGTAGAGAACGTGAAACTGCACAAGTATCGTATACGCGAAAATAAGCTAAAATCTTCTCGCGCGATATAAACTGGGCCGTGAAAGGGCACGAATTACAGCTGCGAACATCCTTCCTTCTCGACGCGAATAAAAACATAGATTCGAGGAAATATCGAGAATTTGGCGGGTAAATGGTTCGGCGGTTGATAACAAGAATCAGTCAGGCATTTAGCAGGATCAGTCGAATAATCTAATTTGCGGGTCGAGGGCCAGCGATCCGTAGATTATATAGCATTGTGGCGAACCCTATCCCGGAAACGCATTTAATTAAAGCGTCGGCTGGCTTTCCAGGAGACGGAGGGAACTTCTTTGAGCCGCAATGCAAAATTTGCATACGACGACTGCGCTAGACCGAGGAGTGTGCCTTCGAGCGAACCGTGTTTCGCCCCTGCGTCTTGGCACCGGGACGGAACGCGACGCGAAAATACGACGTCGACGCCGCACGTTGGAGTATTTGCCTCGAGACGTTGGCCAAAAGTCGAATTTTTTCAATTTCGCTTCGGCTGCAAAATTTCTCTTCCTCCGGACAGTTCGATCGATAGAAAACCGTTTACTAATATTTTCTCTCTTTTTCCTTTACACGTTAAATCGAGTAACAAGTTTCTTTTAAAGCATACGTTTTGGTATTAACAATTTTTTTTACTAAATTAAAGGTGGAAGTCCAAACAACTAGAAAACGATATAAGTTTGGTGCTTCGAACACGTTGACGAAAGAAAAGAATGTGCCAAGACCACTTATTGAGAAAATCCGCGATCACTTAGTTGCCGAGCCAATACAACGCGTTAAACTGCCGGGGAAAATGTGTCCGAAGAAATTCGCGAATATACTGTAACGGGTTTTCAGTCAGAAACACGCGAGTACGATACCCAGTTCAAACCATACTCGCTAAACTCGCTGTGACGTCGACTTATGCGTATCCGACGATCCTCGTTTCCGAGTCTTCCCCGCAACACGAGCGGAAAGTTTCATTTAATTTAACAGACGCGCGCGCGGTATGGGTTACTTTAATATATCCTCCGTCTTCCGACTAGGTGAAAGTGAAAGATAAATTAATTAAATGATAACGGTGAATCGGGGAGCCTTTAAAATATAGATTGATGAATACGGTGTGGTCGTCTATTTGTCGCGAGCGAGCAACCGGTCCGCTCGTCGCGATGAATTTTAAGTGGCAGAAAAGAAAAATTGAATTTATTGACGCGTGAATCACTTCGCAGAGTTTCTTTCTTCCGCGATCCAATTCGACTCCCGCGCGATAAAGCCTTAAAAATTTCTACGAGGTCTTTCGAAACTCCTAATAATAAATATCCGATTATCTTTGCGGAAGTTTTGAAAAATCACCCCCCACGAGTTATTAATATTTTCAGCCAAAAGTTCAAATAAATCCGATCTACGCGACTGTGAAATAAAAAAAAAAAAACGAAGCAATAAACTGTTCCCTCCTTTGCTCCAAGTAAGTACCTACTTCGTCAGAAAGTGTCTCGTTACTTTGTATCCGCTTAATGAAGTTCCTCCGTCCGTTCAACAACGCTGTGAAAAACGAGAAGCGGAAGAAGCGTTTACAATAAGAACAATCCAATCCTGTAAAAGGCCGTGGAGACTGTTTTCACGTTACTCCGAGCACAGTCCTTTAACTCGAGAAGATTAATTGCCCTTGATTCTGTCCTTCGATAATGCAAACTTTGGAGCAGACGCGCGCGTTGATTAATGATTAATAGTACTGTTTGACGATCAATATCGATTATGATCCGTGGAGTTTACACGTTACGCATTGATTCCGTGAGCATGCATTAATTAATCACCTTTAACGATGATGCGCAACACGCAGCTGGCCTGCTTCTTCGATACCGGGTGTCGTGCGAAGAACGTGATCTCGTGCACTCCGGGCAACAGGCTTGCTTCCAACCTGGTCCCCCAGGAGGGTTTCGAGCGAACGTACCGGAACCAATCGAGATCCGTCGACGGTTGATCGAACGTCACGAACGCCTCGTCACGACTTGGCGGTAGCTCGGCGACCACGTCCTTTGGACACTCTAAACGAGGCTTCCCGTACCCTGCAACAAAACGTTTACAGCTGTAGTTAAATCTTTCTTTTCCTATTACACGTTCTCAATTGCCCATTATGTTACTCTATTAGACGCGACCCGTGCGTGTCGAATCTGTTTACAACTTTTTTTGCTGACAACAGAAACAAAGAGAAAAGAGAGGGGACTTGGAATTCTTAGAGAGAACGGATGAATTTTTCTACCATTTCGTTGCAGATTTTTTCAAATATTAATACGTTCAACACGTTTACTATCACGGTATTTTCGAACAAAATGATTCGCGACACCAATTCTTTGCTTCGATGCTAGGTGATTTGTATTCTTCTTTGAAACGCCTATTATTTGCTCGTAGGTAGCATACCTACGGTGACATTGGCCTATCGATTCAACGTAGGCGCAGAATAATAGCCTGTTAAAACAACTTTTAATAAACTAAACACTCTATATTCCATACACGAGTAAGCACACATACATTATACATGTCTGTCTGAATCGAAACGATTACATCGGGGTTATATGTTAATACGAAGGTAATTAATGATACTGGAATTTTTGTCATAATGGGCAATATTGATGATTCGTATAAAACACGTTGTAATAGTTAGAAATTAAGCAAGAGATCCTTATTTTCCATGATATCGGTTTACTCACTGACACATTCGCCGTGCTTCGGCCCGTCCCACGTGCCATCCGAACGACAAGTTAATTCGTATTCTCCGTGGAGTTGGTACCCGTGGGGACACTTCAAGTAACACTTGGTACCTGGTCGATTGGTCACCTTTCGTCTAACTCTACCCCTCCACGATTTTGGTGTCGCCATACGAGAACATATTAAATACCCTCGACCCTCTGGATTTAGCGGTGGACAGGATATACTGTTTATATCTGAGAAAATAAAGAAAAGTATCTCGACGTGTTTGTCGCCTGTCTGTATTATCGTATTATCAAACAAACGCATTTTCCAATTTCTCCAATTGGTAAACAAAATCTATTATCCGAATGTTAATTCCTTGGAGCGATTTTCTTTACACGTTCTTATCATCTACCGGCATATCTGTGACCTACGCTTTCCCCAGCGGCCAAAAGTAAGCCAGATTATAGAGAGTTAAAAAAGTTTTTAAATTTTTCAAAACGATTCCAGCATCGTGTACCTACTTGAAAATAATCCGTACGAGGTAGAAATTGAGCTAATTTTCGTCGGTGAAACCTCACCAATCCATTAGGTATACTGTCACGGAGATATGCGGAATAATATGAAACTTTTAATTTTCGCTAATGGATAACTCATCCCACGCGCGTGCCTTATCGTTCGCGGTTGCGAGCCATCGGACACTGCTAATCTGACACTCACTGGCTGTTACTTTATCGCGTTCACTCGCGGTGAATCCCATTCACGATCCTCAACGAGCAAAACTCGGCCTCGACCCGAGATAAAAAAAAGGTCGATCGCGGTTCAGAAACGCGACCTTACCAGGTTACGAGGAACTCGAGTGGACGTGGTTCTATTTCGCATAATCGGAGACTACTGTGTTCGAATCGATTTACGAGAACAAATCGTCTATACATTACACCTCGAGCCCCCTATTGCTTTCGTCTACGAATGTACAAATTTTGATTTCTGTATTTCTGCGAGTGCTGAGCCAAAATACCCCCATAAGTGTACAGCAAGTCCTCGAGTTACACGGATTCCTAGTTACGGTCTTGTACATATTTTATACGCGTGTATGTAAAGTTCTTTTCTTCGCAAAGGTATACCGTGTGCAACTGTTTAATTTTAATGATCTTCTGCAACGAAATATGTATACCAAATGAATTTTGTAAGCAGAACAGAAGAGCAGTCCTGACAGCAGTTACATATTTAGTCTGACCCATATTCTCCTCGGTAACCTGGAACTGATCTTTATTCTGCCTGCGATACATCGTCTTCGCACAATTCAGCTTGATGGAAAGCTAGGTTGAGGACTTACTCTATATCCCAGTTATTAAAATAAACAATATGCTCGTTTGAGAATGCAATTTCAATATCGTTGAATATCCACGAACATCAGATATTTGGATTATCTGTAAATGTCCCGATACTTCTCTAAATAATTAATGATATCTGTAGCATCGTGTCGGTCATTTCCAGTTGGAATTAACCTGAAAACGAGACACACGAGACGACGGAACGTATGTACGAGGATTGCGGAAAACGCGATTAGAAATCAGCAGGCAACGATCGAGAGACATTCGACTCGTCGCGTGTACCGCGTGTACCGCGTCTACCGCGTCTACCGCGTCTACCGCGTATCCCTGACTTCATCAATTCCTATTGTTTCAAAAGCGATTAGTGGCGCTCGCATTGATCACCGATATCGTCTCGTAAATCCTTTAGTCCGATTACAACCGGCTGGATTTTCGTTGGCACGCGCTCGATACACGCGTTCCCAGTGCGGAAATTTCTGTCATCATCAATCGGCTGCGTTCGAAAGCTGACGCGACCCAGACGACGACGATACGCGCGCAAACTGTAATCTGAAATCGGCGACGTCGACCGAGCACCATTGTCGACCGTGATGCTTACGCGTATTATCCACGATATCTGCATAATATATGAATCACGAATGCTAATGACGACGGGGAGACGCGGTATCGACTCTGCCGCATCCGTGAGAACCATCCCCGTACCGCGGGTTTGCATGGCGCCGCAAATATCGATGCGTCCCGTTGCCCAACCGTCGCTTCTTTCGATGTAACGCTCCACGAGTTTACTACCTGATTACCGCGTGTAATCCGGCCCACTTCACGCCGCGTATCCTATCTTCCGAGAATCTTCCGACTCGCCTCTGCATCCTTAATTCGACGACCGTTTCGTGCATGCATTAATTAACAGCGTGCTAGCCGTGTGTGGGTGCGTTACCTCGCGCGAAAGCAACGTGAAAGGAAACGAAACACGGTGGCTGGCCAATAATCAAAACGATCATGGTATACAACCGTGGACAAAGTTAAACGGGCAATGAATGGGAACAGTTATCGTTCAAGATTAATCCCTTAACGCTCATCGCCCGTAACACACGCAACGTCCAATCTCTGCAACCCCTTAACAGGCGGCTTAATTTTACGACGAAGATTGTATATTAAATGTATCGTGCGAACAAATAGATCGGTCTTAGCAGGAATTGCTAGTCGTACCGAGTCGGATATGTATTTTAGTCAGCCTTCGTAAGTAACACTTCTGACCGAGCAATAATTATTCATCGACATTGTCCACATTTCTCTCGCCGACGATACTATATTATTTTTAACCCGGAACCGATCCTTATTTCCCTCCGCAACACATTGTATTTGGGATAAAGATACCTTTAAGTTAAGTTTACGGTAATTTTAGCTATCGAACGAAGAATTTTTAGCACGAAAAAGAATATATATTCGGTAACATAATATCTAGCATCGTTTTAAAATTTATTCATGAAATATTGTACAATGTACGAGCTGGTCGTCGAGAAACGTAAACAAATGAATGTGTTACCTTAACAATGCTCATTATTGCGAACCACACTCATTGGATACAGCACATATTATGAATCAAATATGACAATTTACTTGACACGTATATACAATTTACCTATGAAACTCAAGAATGAATTAATAAGGAGAAGATCTGCCGTAGAATATTACAGAATATACGTGTTTTTCATTTCAGAACGAAAGAAGAATTTATTTGAATTGTTTACCAAGACGAAAATCTGACTGGAATAATAATGAAATCGTCTTTCTCGAAATTTATACAAGAAATTATCCTTATCGGTTATTTAATGGAATTCGGCAATTATCGGCTCTCCGAGAAATGTATAACCGCGCACTTTGAGTCGCCGGAACTGTGCAAACAATCGCAATCTGGGTCACTTGATTCCATATTCTACGAGGAACTTGTAAAACGTTACCGTATTCTTGAGCGATGTAAATTTCACGGCGAAACTTCTTGTATCCTTCTTATTGCTCGATAGGTTTATGCAAACGAAGATAAACTGGCGCAATAAGAATTCGAAAAGACGGAGAACAAAATGGTAATAATAATTAAACTACTCGAGTCCCAAACCGATACAAATAACACTTTCTCGCGTACGAATAAGATGAAAATTATTTGTTCGAAAGTCATCAAAGTTATCGATACACCTCTCCACACGAAATCGTGTCTCTTTTTGCACGGGATCAGAGGTTGTTCGAAGACAAATTCAACAACCTACGACACACATCCTTTATTCTTAAAACGGTTAATATCATGTTTTACAATAATTACTTAAATTGACGACTTTTATCGACTTGTTTGTTTTGCTTTTGCACTGACCGGAGCACACAGGCGGGTTATACTACTCCGGAACACGTCTGCAACAGCAAAAGAGATAATTGGATATTCTATTTATGCCGGGTCAATTCTTTGTTCGATGTATCGGACAGCGTCGATTCAAACATTCGTCTCATTGAATAAATAAAAAAAATTCACACTGGCGAAGAAGTGCTTTGTTCGCAACGACAAAGTCTAAAACAACACGTCGCACAGTGGGGCAAATGCCGCTTTTATCGCTCGTCGACATATAATTCAACTATTCTTTCTTCTTTGCGAATTATATTTTTCAAGCATACGAAGTACAAAATTGATTTTATAATAATTGGAGAATTTATATACCGTTCATAAATAATTTACTCACTCTATTTTCATGATCAATATATGAATTATTTCCGTATAATTAACGTTTCTATTAATTCGTAACGATTGCATCATTACAAATCTATTATAAATTACAGGACACATTTATTATAATGTAAATGATCAAATAAAATGTTTAAAATTATAATCGATGTTGCATTTCAAAGAGATATAACTCACCTATTAATTATTGCCCATCTGTAACATTGTAAATCTGAAACTTTGTACAATTATCTATTTGTCCCATTTGGTTGATGTTATTTTTCTACTTAAAAATACCCCTTTCATGTACTGTATTGTTGTACTGTATCTGAAACGTTATACAGGGTGTATCCGGACGAGTAGTACAACCGGACGGGGGGATTTATTTCTACTTACTTTTTAAAAAAAAAAAATAAATTTCACGACCTAATAAACCATACTGTTTCCCCACAGACTACATTTCTACCAACTAGGTTTAACTCGGTGCTTTTAATTAATGTTCTACACAATGCGAACAATGATCGATGGTCCACACTTCATTTGTTTATCCGGACATAAAATAGACAATCACCGACGCGTGCTAGCAAACGTGTTAATCATCTAAACTATATTTGCATAGTATGATAGAAAAGTTTCAATAGCTTCTGTTCGATATTAGCATAGTTCTCTAAGTCGATCTATGCCGGATTTATGTCGGACGAAACTGTGAAGAGCAACGGAATACGCGTAAATTAAACGCTCGGGCAATTATCACCGCTTATTGACCGTTTTTGGATGGTTCCGCTCCACTGTGCGCCGCGCCCTACGAACGTTCAACGAACAAAATAAACAAAAAGAAAAATTCCACGAGCCGTTAAGGGTTGAACCCCGCGTAACGCGATAGCGAGCTCGCGGTGAATTTAATCCGGGCTGCAAGAAACACGGACGAATTTATCGTTGTCTCGAGGATATGGCATAATAAAGGGAACGTATTACTCAACCGTTGTACGAATTAATCGGAAAAACCGGGCGGCCCCGTTTATCTGGAACGCCTCGCGAATACGTGTACCCGCTATAACGTTATTACGATGTACTCGAGAAATTTCCCTCGCGTCGCCCGGGACATATTGCGTTTCCCAGACGCGCGTATGATGCATTGCCCTCCGGGTGTCAAATGGAAGGAACAGGCGGGACGAGTCCAAGGAGAACGGTTCTCCCTGGCTCTACGAGAACTCACCCACGCAGGACTTCCCGTCGGATGACAGCACTTTCTCATCACCGTCGCACGCGCAGAAGAAGCTCCCGTCCGTGTTTTCGCAAACCTCCATGCATCCCCCGTTGTCGACCGTGCACTCGTCGATGTCTGTGCACACAAAATCAAGTTCTCCTTAGACCGATTATGCAAACCAAACCTACCAGGGCCGAATTTAACCCCTTGGGCTCCCAGGATATAGAGACCCTGGTTCCTCCTCCTATTTCACAACTAATTACACATTCTGAAACAGTTTTGTTCAATCGCTGGTCCCATAAAATATAGAATAAAAATAGAGGTAAATTGTTATAGATTCGAGTTGTAGACGCTAAGTGGGCTGTACCGGGCAGCTACGAGTCAACGTTCTGTTTATTTGTTGAATTATCGAGGATTTACAAAGAGAAATGAATAACAGGCTTTCGAGTTGTACCGGTCCGGTTGCAAAAGATAAAATAGTGGAACGATTTTTGTAATTCTCCGCCAGCAACTCACGCGACAACAAACGCACGATATTTTCCTCGATTTACAACGCCCGGTTTCAGATTACATCGCTTTATTTCGCCAACGTACACGAAAGACGTAACAACGCGTCGGACAGAGTTACCGTCCGTTATATTTTCCGCGAAATTGGAAAAGGGATTTCCAGCGATATCGGGGACATTGCCGTGCTTCCGTTATTTGCTCTCAAGGTGCTAGTCGAGTCTTAAAATTTTAAATATCACCCCTTCTTTCACCTCGCATTTTCAACAAACGAGTCGCTGCAGTTATTTGAAATTTACACGATTTATTCTTCGCGTTCTTCGACCAATGTTCTGTCAAATTTTCATTAAAAACAATTTGTATAATAGCTTTAAGCACAACTTTTTATGGTAAATCCGATTTGACAAATCTACGAAATGATTGTACGAAAGCAGAAGCATAAATGTAAAAAGTATAATATACATATGTGTGTCACGAGGGTTTGAATTTATAAATTCACGTATTGATAAATCTAAAATTTATATGGAATAAAATTATACGTTTCCATTTACCTTTTATATGTATATTACATTTTATATCGTGCTCACATTTCGTACGATTAATTCGTTCTCGTTAATGAATAAAATATATGTTTGATTAAATCATGAGAATTAATATTTTAGAATATTAATAATCACGAGATCTGGATTCGATTACGTAAATGTGCGGTTTTAAACAGCGATGAACATAATTCCGAACTCGTGGAAAATCCGAAGAAATATTTGTAATTTAAAAAGTTATACCTTCCATACGACGGGAGTGAAGTATAAAAAAGAATGTTTTCTTTTTATTGAAAAATCACCAAGTTTTTCCTTTTCTTTCGACTTTAATATCTTCCTTCCTTTTTACAATTTCTTTTCGAATTCCACTCCTGGCGCGCTTTAGATGATCTTTTTAGTTGTAAGTGGACATACATTGAAGAAAATCGTTGGAGCCGTGTTCGATATTTCATGTTCCCCATTTCTGAAAACGTAGTTTCCTGGGAAAACCGCGTTCGCGTTTATGGTTACATATTTTCTGAGTTTATCGAGTCCAGGTACCCAACGTTTCGTGTAAACGGCATTACAAGAACCGCAAGTTGATGGTAAAAATACATATATCGATTGGAAGGTATACGTATACGTACTTCGATTAATAATGTTATCGCGGTCAAATGCAGATTTTGGCGCACTGTGTAAGTACGTCAGTGGTCGCGAAGTTCAAGTTCCTCGCGAGAAGTGACACGCAACGTCTGTTATGTTGGCTAATCGACGGATAAAAACGTCGAGGCCTCTTTGATTCGCGGTGGTAACGACTTGTCGTGAACGATCCCGCATTCTTCGACCCGGCTGGACGGTCAATTGTCCACGCGATGGCGTTAAATTGACCGAAATAGATGTACAAGGGTCGGCCAGATTGCGATTGCCTCGAGCACTTTCAATGACCGCCAAGAGTACTCGACTTCCGTCGCTTTCACGACACGCAGATACGTATGCACGTATGGATACGACGCGACGCGACGCGCGATAATGATGCTCAGACAGAATGGAGGAGCCAAGGTAACGTTCCTTTTCCTGCGTCCCTTCGATTCCCTACCGATCCCTCTCAATACGGCTTTTGATCTCTGTCACTTGTGCACCCTTTTGTTGCCTCGCCGTGTATTCTTGTCGAAAGAGACATTGAACGTGAAAAGAATTCCCATTCAAGGGCCATCGTTTTACTTTACAACGTGCAAGGAGGCCGACCATCGTAACGGTATTAAAATCTGTTTATGCATAAAAGATGTTTCCAAAGACACGTCACGGCAGAAATTCAGTCGAAGCTGTATGTAGCTAAAACAAGGAATAAAAGCTGTATAGGTATCTAATATCTTCGCGTTATACGTTATTCATTGTGAAAGTTCGAAGGAAATCTGAGGACTCTCGGGTAGGCTAGACAGCTTTTTATATTGTTCCTTGTGCCTTGTGTGCACATATGGCAGACATCGATCCGACTATCATATAGCAGAAAATGCATTATAAAGCAGAAGCTACGATTACAGTGTCTTGTCCCACCAAGTTATTTCAAAATATATTTCACTTCGTTTGTGTTTTCTAAGCGAGATTACATATTCTTCTCTAAGAGAAGTTTTAATAAAATTGAAGAAATAAACGAAACTTGAGTCTAAGTAACTTTTTAATTCTGAACCGTGAATAGAAAAAAATGTGTTTCACGTTTCTCTTTACATATTTCTGTTTGGATATCGATCCCTGTAATTCACGCTTCGATTTATTAAACATCGCGTGCAACATGTACGTAGAAACTCCATATTGAGGACTCTTTATTTAATTACAGTACATCAATTGTGTTAACCAATATTTGAGGTTTCCTGCCTAAACGGATTACAAAATTCATTATTGTGCCAGTGATTATGATGGAGTATGTGCATAATATATTACGCTTCGCGGTGTCAAATACAATGTTCCCAAAATAGGTTAACGGTACACGTTAATACGTTCGATCGGTTTAATATTACAAATTCATTTGGTTTTTTTTTTTCTTCGAATCTTCTTCGATGGTTTTCGAACGAAAGCAAATTTAACAATTCAATTGATATAGAGAAAATATATTGTGTTCATATCTTGAAACGTATGATGTTTCCAAAATAGTAACCAATTCTAATTAACTCAAATTCTGCCGCCCTAACTACCGTACAATTATCCCCGTCACTTTCCAAAATCGATAGCCCGGAGCTAGCTTCCATGTTATCTAGTATCCATGATTGACGATCATTCATTCTGCTAATAAATAGCATTTAACTGTATCCCACTTGTCAATTTGCAAATTGTAGATCATTTACTTTACGCGTTCCAAATCAACGTTATTAATTTCCCAATCCATTGAAATCAAAAACGCGACAACTGATCGGATCAGATTAGTTAATTATACAGGGTGTTCGACCACCCCAAAATCCTACCCACTTTCGAGACAAAAATTCGGGTAGGTGCTGAAATTTTTTGGCAAAAAAAAAATTTTTTCAAATCGTTCTAAAAAAAATATTTTTGGTTGCAGGGGTCAATTATAATCATTTTTGGTCAACAAGCATACCCCCGAAATCCTAGCCACTTTCGAGAAAAAAATTACTTACCGAAAATCTAATCCGAGGCCTGAAACGGTTCCCTGTTAAAACGTCATAACTCCTGAACGGATTGGACGATTTTAATGTTTCAAAAAGCAAACTACGCGTATTTTAGTGGAGAATATGTACGAATCGCAAAAATATTCGATAAGGTGTTCCTTAACCCCGTAAAGTTAGAAAAACCCCATAAAAATGGTCCAATTTTCAAATGGCTATAATTCCTATAATAGTAAATATATTTCAATGAAACTTTTTTCTGAAGTAGAGCTCATGGGCACCTATAAAAAAGTATTAGACAACTTTTCTCTAGGGGGTCGTACAAAGTTATTAAAAATGAAAAACGAAGTTTTAATTATTTTCGGTTGAAGGGGTCAATTACAATTACTTTTGGTGAATAGACACACCATCGAAATCTTACCCACTTTTGAGAAAAAAATTCAGCAAGTGCTAAAATTTTTAGGCGAAATTGAAAAATTTCGAATCGTTCTAAAAAAATTATTTTTGGTTGCAGGGGTAAGTTACTATTATTTTTGGTCAATAGACATACCCCCGAAATCATGTTCATTTTCGAAAAAAAAAAAAAATTCAGTACAGACGGAACTTTAAACGTTAATAGCTTTTGAACGAAGCCTCAATCAACAAATTGCTATTCTTGATTTTCGACTTATTTTGGCCTCTTGAATCCCCCATTAAAATTTTGTCCCGGAGGTGGAAAGGAAAGACTAAGTAACGCTTAAAAATTGTCCGACATTGTGAAAGTTTTGATGGAATTCCTACTTGGAAGTATCAAAAATACGCTGGTGATAAAAGCAAGTTTTCCTCGAAGAAGGACAATTTTCTGCGCGTTCTTCGAAGCGCCGGCTATTATAAAAATTTGCCAGCATTACAGAAAGTTCGCGGAGCTTGTTGGAAGTTGGCCCGGCACAAAACTAGAAGTAATGCTCGAACTAAGCTTCAGCGAACTTTTTAATTATCACAATATCGATTTGAGTAGATCAAGGCGAGAGCTGGTGAAACGGCGTTAAAACTGTTGAAGGCGAATCGTTTTGGTCGGAAACGGAACGAACAGCTTGATCGATGAAGCGGAAGTTTGATAAACGAAGTAAACAATGTGTTTGTTAATCCTCGGTCAATGCGGTGATCGTTATTATAACGCAAATAAAGTGCTGAGATCACTGTAATCCTATTTTCAATTAACAGAATCGATTCACTTTCCGACACATTTAATACTACTACAGTCGAAGACCAAAAAGAATAAATTTCATATTGTTTTTAACAGAATAATTTCATTCTGCTTAATATCCATGTAAAACATTGTTTTTAATTACTTCATACCAGGAATATTTTTCTCGTAATTAATCATGTTTTCAAATGAGAATATATAAAGCTTCACGATATATGATGTTTTTCTAGAAAAATATAAGCTATTATTTCCGTTTTAAATGAACTGAAACATTATTCTGTATAATTCTAAATTAAACAATACTGAAGTATGCGCCCTGTTTCGAGCACAATTAAATTACCAACGGTATAAAAATACAGTTTAATTTTGTCGAATACGTAAATTAACGAAAACATCGAGCGAAAACAATTTGTGCTTACGCAATGTCGAATAAAAAATCGCTTGTAGGAAAGCAATCGTAATGGTAAGACGGTTCAAGTGGTAAAACCTATGCGAAACCTTAACTTCGAAGAATAAAAGAAACAAGGAACGATAGCTTACCGGGACGCCGACGCTTTTACCTATTCCGGTTGGACAAAAAACGGTCGTTGCCTGGCCTGGATACCAAAAAATGATCATTTTCTTTGGGAACGGTAAGAAAACTCGCGATAGAGGACTTGAACGAAACTAATTCGGAATTTCTTGCAGCGGAACAGGGAAGACTTTTACGATGTTCTTCGCGTATTTCACTTTTTCGCATAAAAGTCGCCCGCTGACAGAAAGAAGGAGGACACTCGCTTATACGAACTAGTCCTTTTTCTTTCGTACCAGTTTCGAGATTGCGATAATGAAAGCTTCTTACGAGAAGTTCGGGTAAACCAAAATTACAGTTATACCGAACGAGAAACGATCCTCGGAACATCGAATTGTTTGGACCGAGTCTGCTTTAACACAATACATACCCCTACAAGTAATAGCTTTGTACGTTAATTCTCTTCGATGAGCAAGGCATTCATAGCTCGCTAAGTTGCTCGCTTGTCCCACAAAGGGAATCAAAATCGATGTCCCACTTCCCAACGAAACGTCAAAGTAGTCGATGTATTGTAAGAAGGAATAACGCGGACGCCATTCGAACGAAATAAAATTATGAGAAACGATTTAAAATACACAGGGTGTGCACAGCCACCCCTGGGAAACGAAGTTGAAAGAAAAACAATAATGCTTCGAACTCGAATTAATTTACGTCACCGCCGAAAAATGAAGCGCGGTGTTCTACGATCAATTAGATCCAGAATGTTTCTCGAGTTGCGTAACAAGTCAAGCATAATTTCATTAATGGATTCATCGTATTTTCTCGGTACACCGACAAACTCGCATTTATTTCCGTTTCTTCATTGCGTTTAACCCCCGTGAGCGTTTATACAATCTATCCCCCGAGGGAATTCCGGCAAACTGTCAACTTGTAATCGGAATTGCGAGCGTGGAGGAGCTTTTAAACGGAGCCTCTTGAATCATTCTCGTTCGCCTGACGACTGCTTCTACCGTTTCTCTCGACAGATCCGTTTTCAATGCAAAGTAACAGCGGCAAATTGAGAAAACGACCAAGAAAAAGAAAACTGGCTTATCACGAGTTTTGACGTTTCGCTTTCCCATGAAGTTCGACGTATCGGCACTTTCTTTACTCCCAGGCTACGTTTATGATACAGGGGAAACGTTTAAAGATTACTTACTTTCGGATCTATTTTCTCAAACACGACTGATAATAATAATTTAATAATTTAATAATTTAAACTGTTGCGAACGTCGGTTATTTATCAGAACACAAATGAAACATATAAATCGGTAAAATTGAAATCAATCTTCACATATATTTAATAAATGATAATTTAATTAGCCATACGGGTTCGCTGGGGAGGGTTAAGTTTGAGAAACACTGAAACTGGGAATGCAGAGAGCTGGAATTACGGTTAGAATAGGTAATGACAGGTTTGTGTGTTTAGAACGGATACGGAATGAATGTGGAATAAAATGGAAATGAGGTAGAGAAATGTAGACAAAACAATGTTTAAAGTGTTTGTACAGTGTGTGGAGAATGGAGAATCGTAGTATAAACTGAAAAATCTTGTGCGTTAATTGAACTTCGGATACTCATTGTTCAGGCCCGTAATACACGACAAATACGACCAAGTTGCATCGTCTACCAATTACAACGTTTACCCGACTAGTATTTACTATAATCGCAGTACAGTAATTTCGGTCGTGCTTGCATTCCCAATGACTGTAACAATATTGTATGAAATCAAACATGGCTGTTTATTTTCCCTCCTCTACGTACACAAATTTATCCGGGTATCGTGAGAGTCGATGGACGCTTTTATATAAATTTTCATATTTTTAGATCAACACAGGTAATTAAAATTGATCGAAAAATTATATTTTCCATGAATCGAATTCGTATTTGATTTTAGTTTTTAATCAAGTGTCCATGAACTGGCTCGTGTAAGTTATTTCGATTTCGAAATCGAGCGTCTGTTCCGATTTTCATTATAAATCTTCCCGCTGAATATAACAACACTTGGAACGTCGATCTTTGTTTGGTCAAAAATTCACGCGACCGGATTGAAACGCGAACGCCAGACATTCGCGCCGCGAACGAGACCGCAACACGGAATCCGAAAATTTTATTAAATTATTCATACCGACAGCGACGTTCTTTTACGGTGTAAAAGCCATTATGCAAACATAGCGACTCGGTTAAATTTAGCAGAAAGCAAACGTTTATTAAGTCATAAACATAATTCGATTACGCTCATGGCATCTCAGAGTTGGTTGCATCGCAACGAGGAGTTATTCGCAACCGAAGAGTTATTCGAGGAGCGTCATGAATTTAATCGGAGTTTAATATTGTTCGGGACCGAATTCTACAATTTGGTGACAGGAAGATTTACGACCGACGAGATTAGAATGTCAATTTTAGAAGATATCGGAGGATCGAGACAGTCGTCGAGAAAAGAACGTTGCACGGAAAAAAAATTTTCCTACTTGACTCGGAAAATTTTTGTACCACTCCTTTATATTATTGTAATAAATAATTTCACGGCAAGAGTACATCGACTAGCTCGACACGAGTGCAAGAAATCAATTCCACGACATGATTGCACACGCTAATCGCTTTGAAAGGTGTTACGATAGGCCACCAAAGGCGGAAATGGGACCTTGTTAGAACGTTTATCTCGTTAAAAGCTCTAATTGTAAGATAACACTGTCTAATAACACCGAATAACAAGTTACACGAGAAATACAAGTTCTTAAATATTTTCAAAAACACAACGTGCACCTGTTAGGTATTAACAAAATTGATCATTTCATTGACAATAATTTGATAATACAGGTGATCGATTCGCCGAGATAATCAACGTAACGAAAAAGACGCGACAGTGCTATTAACTTGGACGATATTCCAGATATGCGATGATCCAGAATCTCGATCCAATATTGCAATGGAGAAGCCACCGGCCTACAGAGTGGATCTATGTTGCAAACTAATACGATTAAGTACTCGGATCGCCTCGAACAGTATTATGGGGCAGGACTAGGACCGGGTGCCTGAATCTCGTTAGGACGCTCATCTCCCTATGGGGAATTGTTATCGTGCTGGCCATCGGTTGGCTGTCCGGAAATTTCGCGCTTACGAAATGAATGACAAACACAATTACGACGCTCAAAGAAGAATATCGTTGTTACGGGCACGAAAGACGCATCCCGTGGAACATAAGACTGCGATATATTTCACCGCAAACCGTAAGGATGCAACTCGAAATACGTCAACCTCGCGTTTTCGTTACCGAACGGGCTGCAAACAGAGCCAATTATTTTTAATAACAAGGGAACACTGACAAATCGTTCTTTCTAATGTGCAATGAAATAAAAGTCCATGAAACGTACGACTTGGTACATTTAACTCGGCAACAAAAACATTTATAAAGGCAAAATCAAAGAGAAAGTGAATAAATTATGTTTTCTTTAAATATTTCTAATCGTACAAACGGTACGAACTGCGCTACGCGAGAAATACGATGCTCGTTTCGCGAAATGAAAATATCCCCAACAATTGTGAAAATTGTGAAAATCGTAACGCAACGTTCAAATAGAATTTCCATCGTAGCGAATCGTTACGACGAGACCTGTCCACTCGAGAGTTATACCCGCAAATCAGACTTCCTGTTAAATCGCCTGTACGGATTAAACCACTTACCGATACAAGTTCCATCAGGGGTGGCCTCGTAACCGGGGAGGCAGGTGATCGACAGGCTGTCTAGTATCGGTTGATCCTTTAGCTCCATTGGTTCGGCGCACCGATAAGATCCGGGAGTATTGATACACCCGTAGCGACACATTTCCGTTTGTAAGTCGGGCTGGGCACACTCGTCCACGTCTACAAAAAGAGCCATAAGCTTAGATAAAATCAAGAATAATCATAATAATTTTATTAAACTATTATTTTTATTCTCGCATAGAGACTATTAAATTTCAAACTCGTGCGGTCAAGTAACCGATTTTGCATCGTTTGGTTGGACACCCGGCGACTCGATATTCTTCGCGTTTCGATCGGTATGGGTTATCGAATTTCCTGCGCGAATCTGAGGAAAAGGAACGCGAGTGGCGAATTCTATTACCTTGGCAAGTCTTCCAGTCGTCCTCCAGAACGAAACCGTCAGGACAGAGACAGAAGACCCGGCCCTTCGTCGAGAGACAGGTATGGGAGCATCCAGCGTTGTTATTGCTGCACGGACCTGCATCCTGACACGTGTGGTTGTCAACCGAGAGGACAGTGTCCTGTAGACCGTCGCAGGAGCATTCATAGCCTCCTATGGTATTCCGACACGTATCCTGACAAGGTCCGTGCCCGTTGTTCAACAGACACTCGTTGATGTCTGAATAATGGACACGAATATCAAGGAACCGCTTTACATATTTTTCTCGATTCGCTAATTAGCTATTCAGGCACGCAAAATAATCGGTACTCTGCATTTGAGCCAGTTTCCAACTGTTGTTAATAAATTCTAAAAATGAAAATTTAAACAAACAAGAGTAAAAATTGAAAATAATATTAAATGAAAATAATATTTAAATCGAATATAGTACTCGATGGCAGCTTTAATAGTTTCAACAAACTGTGAGCAACGTCGAAGGTTGCAGTTTCTGCCGGTGATAATCGATGAAACGACGAATTTATACGCGTTCGCGTTTACACTTGTTGCTTTTTGAGAGGGAACGAAGTATTCGCGTACGGTCTGCTATGTATGTTCCGGTGCAAATAACTTACCCCCGCACGTGAACCTGTCCAGGAGCAGTTTCATTCCCTTTGGACACTCGCAACGAAAGGATCCCAGGGTGTTCACGCACTTATGCTCGCAACCTCCCTCATTATCCTCGCATTCGTCCACATCTGAATTTCAACGAGTACGTGTAATACAGAAAATTTGGCCAACTCCCGCAACGCGCCGTTCCTGACTTATCGCGACCACGTAAACGGTTCGACGAAAAAAAAAAAAAAAATACGATTCGAAACTGTTACTTTAATTCCACTCGTCTGAAAATATTGTACGAACGGAAGTGCTGTGTTCCTTGTACAAACTCGTCGTTACGACGACGGAAAAAAAACGTTCGCTAATAATATTTACAGAAACATTTCGTGGTGCGAGAGGCTGGAGAACATGTAAATGAAGCAAACCGCGTTACTCGTGTTGTTTGTAAACGATCAAATTCCACAGAGCTTTGCTCCAATTTTATTTTCATATTCCTTGCGCAGCGAAACTGCAGCTTAGACTTTCAGAGCTCCGTTGACCCGGACATTCTCGCAAGACGGACTGTTTATCCTTCGAATTCATCTGGATTAACGTAATTTTACTGCATTTTTATTCTTCCGTTTTTCCGCTGTTGCGTGGCAAAAGACTATTTTCCCCGAGACTCGTTAATCTCAACTTTCGTTTAATTCTAACCATTCCCATTAACTCGATCAAATTAACAAAGTTTAATTGCATTTTGTTTTCGTATACCTTTTCCGGTACTATTTCGCCCGTGATCTACATTTCCTTGCCTTGTTTTTTAATTTCATACTTGCGTAAACAAAATCGACTCTTCGTTGTAACAGTTACATCAGAATTTCGATGATGGAACTTTTTCAAAAGTAGTTGGAAAAATGACGAAACAGCAGAAAGGAATAAAATTTCAGCAACGTCTCACTTCCAATCTTGATCCGTGTTCCGAATTCAGAAACGAACATTAAAATAACGTTTCGCAATCCTCCTTAACCTTTGCGAAAGATCAATGGTAATACGTTCGACGCGGGAACAAAAAAAGATGAAAGATTTTGCGCGAGATCGTTGATATTTTAATACTGGCAGGAAACACTTGTCGATCGCAGAACAGAAGCTGTCAATATTTCAAAGAGTATTCTGTCGATATTTAAACTCGAAAAATTTCTTTTCCACCGACTCGACAGGCTGCGGCCTTACACAGGAAAACGATATCGTTCGTGTTCCGTTTAATGCTCATACTGATTAAAAATAAGGAAATTTTATACCGGGTTAACTATCAGGAATGTTATTAGATTATGAAAAGTGACGGTAATTTTTCCTGTGCGTCGTTAACGAACAAATTGCAGTATTTCACAGAAAACCTGCTCATCGAGTAAATCCATAACCGTGTCGAGTTCCATATTCAATTATAACGGAATCAATGATCAACGAATTAAAATTAAAAACTAAACGAAAGATACGTACAATGAAAAAAAGAATAAAACAATTCAAGAAAATAGAAATTAAGAATAACATTTCTTCGTACAAGGCTTTGTTTTCCTACTCGGATTAATTAAAAGAAATTGCTTTTAAAATGTAACAGCTTCTATGTTTAATTATTGAAAATGTTTGTTAGCGGTTAGAACGTGATAATTGTATTCTGCTGGGAAATAAAATTCTACCAGAAAAGAGATTCTATCCTTTTCTAATCGGCGATGGAAGAAACGATAAAAACAAAACATACCGATGCACGAATTGCCTTCTAGTCGATAGCCTTTGTAACAATAACATCTTGGTCTGCCATCGGTGTCCTTGCAAACATGATCACAAGAGGCCCCGATACATACACCCTCGGGTTTTTGCTTCACTTTGCATTGTGGCAAATGCCCGACCCATTGACGATTTCTGCAGAGCAATCTGCTTGTCGTGGTTACCATGTAGTATCCTGGAGCGCACTCGTAATCAGCTTCCAAATACTCGTGGCCCGGTATCGACGACCTTACAGAAATATAGAATAGTCAGAAAATGATATGTATCTTTTACTAGCAATTTTATACCGAATATAAATAACAAAGTCTCAACTTGTAGATAAATATTTCATTTATTCTCGAATTCTTCATTGTCCGCTGCTAATGTTTCTTTTTATTTTCGCGTCGACGTTAAAGTTCCGATATTTTTTCCACTTTTTATTGAAAATTTATCGTATCTTTTTCCTTCGCTTTTTCAACTCTTTTATATTTCATAGCACCGCGAAGTAATTCCAGCACGTCCGGGTATTGAAAAGTTCAAACTTTTCGATCCGAACGTTTTCTGGTTCTCGTGCAATTCCGCTTCGAAGTTGGCTGCAGTAATTCAATTTTCTAACGAAAAGAGGAAATTTCAAGCGGCAACAGAGCGACACGTTCTTCGCAGTATTATAGGCGAGTATGTGCTCGATTAGAGAACAAATGAAGGGCTTTGAAGGGGTCCGTTCGCGAGTGTCTGCAAAAGTACTAAACGGAACGGGCGAACGGAAACAGCAATTATAAACGTTTCAACTGCCCTATTGAAAGCGACCAAGCATCGCTTCTTTGAAAAGTACCTAAGAAGTGTGGAAAGTGGATTATAATAGAACTGATTGAAAGATTGCTTCTAAAAATCGAGTCTTCTTTCCTCGAACGCACGAATCTTTCCTCGAAATGATTCAGTAAATCAAAAGAGATTCGATCTCTGTTTGTGAAAGACACATTTTTAAAGGAACCTTATACTTTTTTCTGTAAAAAAAAATCTCTAAAAAGACCAAGAGAATGAAACTCTAGCCTAGAATATACCTCTAAAGCGATCGAAATAGAGCAACGTGTATAGAGAAATTGTTCCTCCGGCGAAAAATATAAAAGAGCGATACACTGACAAATGACCGTTCGTTGTAGGTAACTGAATTCCCGGAAGCTCTATCTTTGTGCAGAACATAAAGCGCGGGACAAGTTCATAAGCGCAGCGAAAATCCATCGTTATAAGGGAAATCGCTTCGATCAAATCCACCCTCGTCGCCGTTTTGGGATGAGTTGAATTATTCATAGTGAAAGCCACTTACTTTACATATTTGATCAGTGCATGCCGTGCGAGGGGCGCGGGCAGGAAAGTCCCGTTTATGCATGATAAATCTCCGTTGGTGTCGTCGTCGTACGCCGGTGTGGCGTTCGCCATCTCCGTGCTCTTCTTTCCGCCCAGCCTTTTCAACTCCGTTCCGTCAATTATGGGTTTACCATGAAGATGGGATCCAGCGGATTTCCGTCGCTCGATTTCCCCGTGTCGCGGCAACATGGATAATTTCAAGCCCGACGTCATGTAAGCGTTGTAATCCTTGAGCGTCCTCGCCAGCACTTCGTTCTCCAGATCGAGAATAGGCAGATCCTCCTCCGTTCGCGAATAACCCAGCATCTTCTCGGCGTCGTACCTCGAGCTGCCGAACCTGGTCTCCGGCCGATTGCTCTCGCTCTGCGCCTTCGTTTCGGAACTTTTGCTCGGCGTTCTCGTCAACGTGCTGCCCAGAATACGGTTCTCGAGACTCGCCGGGTCCTCCATCTGCGTCCGGGAGATCTCCTTCTCCAGCTGCTTGGAGAATTCTCTCTCGACCGTGTCCTCGTAGTTCCTGTAACGCGAGGTCGTCTGCGACGATCGCTTGGTCGGTTCGGTGGTCAATTGATCCTGAAGATTGGACGACGCGGTGACGTTCGTCGCGTCTACCAGGGAACCGTTCAACGGGGACTGGTCGTTTCTCCAAGTCATGTTCGAAAAATTATAGTTGGAAGCGTTGTCCTCGAGCTTCCCGAGGAGCAGTGCCGCCGGTGCATCGTTCATTCGTCTCTTGAACTTGGTGATTCTGTGTCCCCCGAGTTTCTCCTCGTTCTGTCTGGACCTTTTCCGTCCGCGTTTTCGATCGCGATTCTTCCTTCTTCTTCGTCGCTCGGCGCGATACCTTCTCCACTGGGAGTCCTTCGACTTCTTCGACCGACTGCCGCCCCTTTTCCCTCTTACTTCGTTCTCGCGTACGGACTCGCCGGGTTCGCGTTCTCGGTCCACGTCCGCGACTTTCGACTCCTTGCCTCGGCGACGTTTCTTACGCGTTCTATCGCCGCTATTTCCCTTTCGACGACCGGTCGATGTTGTCACTGAAAAGAACCGTTTTTCCTCTAACGTACTATTGGGAGACTAACGAGAGAAGGATTTAACGGTTTTAACTTTTATATCGGCATCTGTGTTGGTTGGATTTCAAGAACACGTCTACTCACCGACATTCAGAGCCGACCGAAGGGATGAGTTGGACGAAGCACCTTCTGGTGAAACGAGGACCTTGTCCCTATTTCCGTCAGCCCGAAGTACCGTTTCCGCTTCCGTCTCCGGCACCTCTGCCGCGTTCCGGGACGAGAGAGAACGGCCGTTCTCATCGAGAACGCCCTCGCGAGACAGATCCCAGCTAATGGACAATACAGCCAACCGGTGTTTTTTTTCTCTCGACAAAATGAAAAGACCCTCCTCCTTGCCCACCTCGACCCTCCTCCTTTCAGCATGCATAACATCGTGTACCTTCCTAAGTCGCCCCCTGTACCCGTATTAAAAATACTGCCGCGACAACAGCTTACTAGAAATTCTCTCGAAAAACGACCGATCGTTCGTCGCGCTCACGGAACACGTCTTGCATCGATTTCATCAACTTGGAAACTCGTAACGACCATGGTATGATTACTTTCGTTTTCCTCGCGTGGTAATTCGTGGTAATCGACTACTCGTTTACAAATCCCGCTATTGTACGCGAAACTGATAAATAATTTGGTTCTTTCGTTGTTCCTCCGTCATCGCAAACTCAACAGCAACGTTTGCAAAGGTAAAGACCGAATGGAAATTTCAATTATCGTTTCGACGACAAAGGTCTTCTCGATCGGATTACAGGAGATAATTTGGTAGGAACATCGACATGGTCCTAAAGAGCCTCGGTGTCCTCGACAATCGCGATAACGACGAACGGGGCGAAACGTTGCTCCCATTGTTCCCGGCTATTCCGACGATTGTAAATGAAAATACCGCAGGAAGTAGAGAGATTCCTTTATTAGCGGACGACGAGGCGACGCGACGCGACGCGACGCGACGTCTCTCTCCGCAAACGACCGCCCAAGGGCTCCACGGATCGTTTCGCGGAGACCTTGGTTTCATCGCGTCGCATCGCGTCGCGTCGCATAGCGTCGCATAGCGTCGCTTCTGTAATTACGATTCGTGGGACCGGGTAACCGAGACGGACGTATGGCGAACGCCGGTAGACGCGTGACTCGCGTTTCCGCAACTGCGGTCCGGCTGTGTTACACCAATTAGAAAGTTCGAGTGTGTGTAACGCGACCACCCTTATTTCGTGCCGAGCGTAATTATCGGTTCTCCACACTTTGGGCGTCCGTTCGTTTGATCCACGGCCAGCCCCGGGCAACTCCGAGTCGAAGTTGCGGTTTAATGACGATTCCGCGACGGCCTGATCGGAGTTCGCTGAAGTTGCGCCGAGAGCTTGTTACCGGGGTCAGGAAACGTGAGCGACGTCCTCTCGTTTGTACCTTTTTACTTCCTTAATTGGCTAGGTTGTTTGTGTCGGACAGTAACTGCGAGTGTGGCGCACAGGGTGGTTCGTAAAATGCGACTTCGCGGGCAACTTTGCCGCACGAGGACGACTTTGTTACCGAGTCGCGATTCTCTCAAGCGTTTCGATCGTTTTCGATTTAAACTCGGTTCAACGGCTGGTGAAACACCGAATATGTATGTATATGTTTGAAGGACATTTCCTGTTTCGATCTGATAGAATTAAGTCTATGTATACTTACATCGAACGAATAGTTCGCGCACAGTTAACAGAGTTATTAAGTGATAATTTCAAAACACGAAAATAACGTTTCTCTTCGGAAATAAGCGAATAAATATTATTAAATTTAACAGAAAGTAGAGCATTTGTTATTTTCAGATCGATATTAAAGTAAAATTGCTTGGAGCAATTGACACTGTTCCACAGACACGACGATCAGCCTTGGTAATTAGCGCGTCGATTCACTTATTAACTCATTTGTCACGTACACGAGTTACACATTCCTGAAGGAGGCTGGGTTAACGTCGCCCCGCTTTAGAAACCCGCTTTAAATTCCTACTGACACACAATTTTCACACTATATGTGAATAATGAGGAACTGTTTCCCGAAAAGCTTGCCTTCGATTGATTTAAAATTAACAAATTCTATTTAATGTTTGAATTTAATTCGCACTATAACGATATACTTACGCGTACGATTGATCGGAATCGTCAGCCTGCAGGTCGTCCCGCAAAACGCCTATTTTCCTAGCGTTAGTTTTGTCGTTAAACGTTTCCCGGGGCTCTGCATTTTGACAGCGTCCTGAAAACACCAAAATCGCACCGTATTCACCTCCCGTCAGGCAGGAAACGTCGAAAAACGTAAAAGAAATAAATCGAAAACGCGCGAGACGGAAACGAGATCCGTCCGCCGATACACCGTCCACGTCGGAACAGAGGCATAGGAATTTCCATTTCCGGGGCTCGAGAAACTTTCACCTGGACGAGGTGGAAAGTTTTCCCAGTTCCAGATCTTGGAACTTCGCTTTGGTTCCGCTCGAACTTCGACCGGAAGTCAATGGAACCCGCGCCACTTTGCAATGCCGGGCAAAGTACTTGCGTACGCCCCCTCGCCGCGCCACTCTGTTCGCCAGCTTTTCAGCTCGATATTGAACTTTTTATCGCGACGAAAGGGGACGGGGGAGAAGGGAACGAACGGTTAAAGCGAAAGGAGTTTCGCGGAAACAAAACGTCAGCTCGCAATGGTCGTTTCGCGTACAGATGCCCGCGGAAATCGGTGCTCGGCGCGTTTCGCGAACCGATGCAATTTGCTTATGAGTTTTCCCCGCTGCAATCTTTTCGAACGTAACACTATAATGGGCAATCGTTCCGAGGAGAAACTTCGAACAAACAGAAGGAAACCGTTGCGTTAGTTTCACCGAATACGTTGTTCGAAACTACAATAGAAACAGTTTTTAATGCTGGATGTTAAGAGACGCGTAAACTGACTCAATTGTTTACGACGATCAAAGTTTTTTATTCGCGAGAAAATCGTTGAAGTTGTTGAAACCGTCACGGAATGGAAAGTCTGACGATACAAACGCGATAAGACACCCTTAGAAATGTCGAATGTAATATATACGGGGTGTTCGGCCACCCCTGGAGAAAATTTTAATGGGAGATTCTAGAGGTAAAAATTAGACGAAAATCAAGAATATCATCGATAATCGTTAACGTAAAGGTCGAAAGCAAAACAGAAACTTGGCTATGCCCGACGTTTCTGGTCTCGGATATGCAAAAAGGTGTAGTGGAATTCGGCCAAACCTCGCTGGATGTGGCTAGGATCTTACCAAATCTAGGAGGAAGCTGATAAACTCTGTCGAGAAACTATAGAACTAGGGCGAACTCTAAAGCGGGTCCCACACGATGATGCTTGACTCGAGATATGTCTCGAGACAAGCAATAGCTTCGAGATACTTTGATTGCTCGTATCTGTTCGCGAGCAGTCTCGTGCACAACCCGAAAATGGTGAAATGCAAAAACATGGGATATGATTCTCACGATCATAGGCACAATTATAGTTTTGTCGCAGAGTGTACGTGGACTCGAGTACATGAAACTATTGGTTACTCTAGCCCCGTCCATCTTTTGCCGAGTCCGCCAGCGGGTTCGCAACGCGACTTCATTCGACGAAAAATACAGACGTATGCTTTTATCTTTTGTAACGATCGCCCTGACGCCGACAGCCATCCCGTTTCGAACGTGGTAATTCGACGCACCGTGGCGATCACGACCCTTTTTGCATTCGTCTCTCGCAACGGGAGTATACGTAGTGGCAGAAGTCAATTTCAATAAAATTGATACGCGATGGTAGATCCTGCACCTACGAAAACCGAAGGTAAAATATTGGTCGAACGCGGTCGTAAGTTTTTTCTAAATTTCATCGAATGTCTAACAATGCTCGTTTGAAAAATCAATCGAGTTACTTCATCGTTCGATTCCTCTGCTTCCTTTCGCGTATTTAATCTCGCTGTTCGAAAATAGAACGCGGATAAAGGTTCGATCCGAAGTGGAACACAGAGTTTGCGAATCCCGCGGAGTTACAAGAGAAACGTCTGATAAAGTTATGAATTACGGTGCATTGGCCTTCGAGGCTCGTCGAGGTCGTTCAACACAGGATAGGTCAGTCGCCGGCTCTAACTCATTCTAACCGATGCCGTAACGCTCCCACCATCGATTCTACGTGAACCGGAAATATAATGGCGGCGATCTCGTTCGAATTCCGGGAAACCGACGCGGAGAGCAAATGCCACGAAGCCGCTCAAAACCTCCATGAACCAAAATCCCCCCGCAAACCTTCTTACCGATTCATCGCGGCGAAGAAACAAGAAAAATACAAAGGGTCTGATAATGTATTTAATCCCGTTTAATTGAACTTTGCTGCCCCGCGGAAGAAATTCTTCCACCGATACCGCGGTCGACTCGCTTACGTGACCTGGAAACTTTATCAGTTTCGATCGAATTTGAAATTATTTTGACAAATCAGTGCTGATTAGTCAAATCATTTACACAAAAGGCATTAACGGAACAAAATTATTCTACGTTCAACCTAATTCTTTTCTATCCATCCGCAAGTTTACAGATTATATGTATACTTTTTCAATTACATTTTACCCTTTGAAAATGTACTCCCCGAAATGCAGAAAGAACCATCGAAATGCGATTGCCGATGAAAGTCGCGCTAAAAGCAACGAAACAGTGCTTCGAAACTTTTTTGTAGCATCGTGAAAAGTTGTTCTTTACTTGGAAAAATGTGCATGCTCGACGTTCCTAATACATCGCCTTAACGAGTGTGAGAAACGAAAATCGTGTCGCGCGTCGTAACCCATCGAGAAATTTGTCTGAGATCACCGGTTTATATAAAACTTCATCGACAAAGCGGCGTTTATAGAAAATTTCAGGTCAGCGCGCACAACGGCCGCAGTTTTATGTTTTATTACGCGACCTGAGACGTTGCGCTAAACGAAACCACCTCCGGGAAATGTCGAAATGCTTACGCGTTTTTATTCATACGTAATTACTTCCCTCCTTCCTCCCGTTCTGCGCGTAGGAGTTCATTCACGATCCGTCCCAAACAGATCTCAATTGCGAATCTACTCTGCTTTGTCGATCCATGAATGATTTCTTATAAATATCGAAATATCTAGAAAAAACCACTGATCCAACCGGGTGAATAAAGTACAGCACGGTAAAGAAAAAAGTTTTCAATTATTTTCCATGAAATCTCTGGTAAATAAGTAAGACGGACGGACACCTTCTATTTATTAATTACGGATTCATTAAGAGAGCGTGGATGAACCGAGATAAGTTGGTACCGAATTGAAAGGCAGCCGAACACCGGTAAATTACAACCCCTTCTCATAGCCATTAGACGCAGTAAGATGTAATATCTGTAGAGAAGCGGCGAGAACCCAAGATATTTTTCAGCCCTTTCGTGCCATCCTTTCCTCTTTCTCTCATTTGCTCTTAAAGTTGTAGATTAACTTCCAGGGTCGCGAACTACGCAAAGAAACGTATAGTTCCGTGCTTTACTTAGAAGAGAGTTCAGAGTACTTAAAGCTCCTGAAAATGCCGAGGTAAGACTTTCCGTTCCTCTTTCGCATGCACCCTCCACCACCCTTTTCTTCTTTTCAGCAGCTTACCTGAGCGGGTAATTAAGACGTTGTGCCGGCGCAGACTCGGAAAACCGTGAATACCGAAATTATTCTTCGTTTTAGCGCGAGGGAACTTGATGCCGCGAAATATACGGTCACCCTCTATGTATAACGGAAGGAACGACGAACCGTGCAAGGTAAATGTTCTTCCGAAAGAGCTTTACCATGGAACGGGTCACAATTTAACGCTTCGGCCGCGTTTCCTTTTCATAACAGTTTACTTTTATTCGAGAAAATCATCCCTTTACCGATATTCCGAATAACGTTTCAAGTATTTTCATCTTTCCCCTAAACTTTCGATAAAAATCACTCGGTTGCCGGGGTCTCCGCAAACTCGAAAGAATTCGTCGATCCTTCGTTTCAGAGAGCAGCGCTCGAATGGAAAATTCTAACACATCTCCAAGTTAATTTGACGGGGTGGTGTGTATTTTGGGAATCGTGCGCGTTTCTCGTTTAAGTTGAAAGTGGTTTCCAAGTAACCGATGGTCGGAAAGTACAGACTTTCCACATCCACAACATTTGCCACGGTTTACTTGATTTAAGAGCTGGCTTCGTTAGCCAAACATGTAATTAAGACCGAACCGGGGGATACTTTCGTGCTGCGGGATCGTGGAGAACCGACAAAATCGATTTTACGGACGCATTCGTACGCAGCTGCGATCCCGTTCCAAATTTTATGGAATGTTTACGCTGCTACCAACTTTCGATCAACGAAAAATTACATTCTGAAAAAATTATTTCCGATTGCGGGGGTCGATTACAATCATTTTTGGTCAATAGACATACCTTCGATATCCTATCAACTTTCTAAAAAAAAATTCGAAATGTGAAATTTTTCGACAAAATTAAAAAATTTCAAATCGTTCTAAAAAAAATATTTTTGGTTGCAGGGGTCAATTATAATCACTTTTGGTCAACAAGCATACCCCCGAAATCCTAGCCACTTTCGAGAAAAAAATTACTTATCGAAAATCTAATTCGAGGCCTGAAACGGTTCCCCGAAATTTCATGCGAATCTTTAAAACGTCATAACTCCTGAACGGATTGGACGATTTTAATGTTTCAAAAAGCAAACTACGCGTATTTTAGTGGAGAATATGTACGAATCGCAAAAATATTCGATAAGGTGTTCCTTAACCCCGTAAAGTTAGAAAAACCCCATAAAAATGGTCCAATTTTCAAACGGCCATAACTCCTACAATAGTGAACATATTTGAATGAAACTTTTTTCTGCCGTAGAGCTCATGGGTACCTACAAAAAAGTATTAGACAACTTTTCTCTAGAACGCCGAACAAAATTATTAAAAATGAAAAACGAATATTCAAGAAAAATCGACAGGGGGTAGTAGGTGCCTCATTTTTCCGGCGAAAAAAAATTCTTTCAAATCGATTTGAAAAAATTATTTTTGGTTGCAGGGGTAAGTTACAATAATTTTTGGTGAATAGACCTACCCCCGAAATCCTACCCACTTTCTAGAAAAAAATTCTTTACCGAAAATATACCGTGTGGCCGGAAATGTTTCTATAACTTTTTAACGAAGCCTCGATCAACAAATTACTATCCTTGATTTTCATCTTACTTTGGCCTCTAGAATCTCGCATAAAATTT